CAGAAGAGTGCTATGTTGATCAATGAACAGATGTCTAGTGTTCTTCAAGATTCTCATCTGAGATTCCTTAAGGTTTTAGAACCTTGGATACGTTATTCCTTGCCACCCCTGCCTCCTACTAGTTATGGTTTCTTATGGTCATTGCCTGTGCTAGTCCTGGATCCGTGATTCTTCTAGTTTTCCTTTCCTCCATGTTTTCTTTCTAATTCTTTCTTTTTTTATAATTTTTTTTCTATTTTTTTTATTTTCTTTTTCCTTCTTTCTAACTTTTTTGTTTTTTTTTTTCTCTTCTTTTTCTGGTAATATGATGGATTGCTGCTGCTATTATTTGGTTCAGCCTTTTGCCGTGCCTTCTTGATGTCATTGGACATTCCGTTATTTGGCTAATACAAGTCAGCAGGATATATCTGTTTATGTGTTATTGTTCTGTTTTGCCCCTGCGTAGGCGTATCTTGAGCTTGTTATATTCTTAAAACAAAACTTTCTTAATAAAAATATTGAAACATAAAATATTTACTTTACACATTTTCCAAATGAAATTTCCTTTCCCTGTTGGAGCTAACCAGACTTTCCCTGTTGTAGCTAACCAAACTACACTTGGAAAGGTTTTTACCTGATTTCAACCAACAATTTTTTTTTTAAGTGGGGGGTGCTGAACTCAACAAATATTTTCCAACCCAATTATGTACCCTGTGGTGAATCCATGCAGCTGCTATGGAGCCTGGGACCCAATAGGGAGGCTATTAAAAAAAGTAAACTTAGAAAATCTGTATGCATGTTAAGATGATCATAGATCCAGTACTGTATCAGGGTTGGACTGTTTGTAGTTGATACTGACACAGCTGAAATTTTATTATTGTTATAGCTGTTCCTACAAATCTTTTGTTTTTATGTTACTGATGACTAAACCACATTCAGCTCATGCCTGCAGTAGTGGTGGGACTAAGAATTTGAATAAAGACCCTGAGATCTTAAACCCTTTAAAACATCAGTTGGAAAAAGACTACTAAGGTATTGAGAACAGAGTATACATATAGTGCAGCGCTGAAAAAGTATAAAAATGAAATGTGTAAATATATAAAAGTCTTTCTTATGACAATATAGTCAAATATGTGCAGGTCTTCTCCTCATTAGGTGACTGGAAAATAACAAGATTGCGCACTCACCGACCGCACATTTAAAATGCGCCTGTGTATGATATATTCCAAAAGACCAGCCAGGTATACAGCTCCAGAGACCACACGGATCCTCCCTCTCCAACACTCTCGTTTGCCTTGGGTGTAGCAATATCTCCAGATCCAAAGGTAGAAAGACAGAGATCCCCCTGCTTCCCGAGGCAGGGAGGGAGAACAACACCCCGGTCACCGGGACTTAACACTGCGGCTTCTCAAACTGGCTCCCTCTATGAGGTTTAGTGATTCCTTGAAGTGTTCCAGCGGCTGGTTTTTCTGAGCGCTCGCTTTATTCATTATTCATTGAGAACAGAGTAGTTAGCTTGAAAATGAAAGTTCAAACCCAAATAAAGTGTCACAATGTTTATTTGCTATGCTGTCAAGCTACATAACAAGTAAACAATATGGCATTAAAAAAAAAATCTATGTGTGTGCTGTCACGGACATGGGGCTGCAGGAGAACCATTGCCCAGGGAACTCGTGTTTTATTGTGTTTTCAAGTTATCCAGAAGGAGCTGATCACTAGTTGACTTTTATGCCCATCCAGACTTTCATCAGCGCTGCCCCAGATCCTAGTCACATTTGCATGTAACAGCATAGCGGCTAGGGCCAGTCAGACTACCCACTAAATTTACTAGGAGTCGATTCGAAGGCCCATTGTCCTGTCACGTCACTCTTTTGGGACTATGTTCTCCTTTTGGTGGGACATGCGCTGGGGTGGTGTCTGAGAGGGAGCTTGCACAGGAACCTTGTAATTTCAGCTTTATATCTCACTGGGGTTTGGTAACCATGGCTATGGAATGGTTGCCCGGTTACTCTGAACTGCACCCTGGTACCTTTAACCAGCTCTGGCCTCATCCATGGAACATGTCACTTTTTGGATGATATCATCTGGGGGTCTGGGGGATTGCCAGCACTCCCTCTAGATCACCCCAAAAGAACTATCATTGTAATATATGGCTTCCTATGTATAATGTATTTCAGTGTAGGCGCCAGACTGTCTGAGGTGGGCATTGTCTGTGATAATGTGATTAGCTCTTATCTTTTTGTGTAAATTAAGTGTGTTTCTCTAATAAAACAGTTCTTCTTGTTTATCTCAAAAACTGGTGTTGTCTAGTTCTTTGGTGTAGCTACAGCTATAATCACTTGTCTTATGTTCCAGAGTTTGGGAAGCAGCTTCTTGGCAGAGATACCCAGTCAGGGTGTCCATCACATGTGCTAAAACTGGAAAGACTGCCCTGTATCAGCAGCACACTGGATAGCCAGGCTGCTATTCTGCCATCTAGTGCAGTGGTTTGAAATGCCCCCTGCACAGTACACTTTTAGGTGTTAATTGTGAGCATGAGTTATTTAATAATTATTATTATTATTATACAGTATTTATAAAGCGCCAATAGTTCACTCAGCGCTGTACATTACAAAGGGGGACAGAAGATGTGACAGAACAATACCAATACAATGCAAAACATGAGGGGATCGAGGGCCCTGCTCTTTCGAGCTTACAATCTAGAAGATGTTCACAACAGTATTTTCTCAACAGAGCAACTAAAAACAGGCAGGTAAGCATGTATAAATTAACTCTGTTCTCCATCTGCTAGTTGTAAATCCACTTATTAAATATTTGAATGCTATATTTCATTTTTTCTTCTAAATTTTATTATTTATATGTCCGTTTATGAAACTGAGATCAGCTGCGGTACTGTGGATCGTTGCTGATCTCAGTATATTAGTGGTTTATGAAACAGAGATAATCAGTAGAGAACATGTTCTGTGTGTGTGTGTGGTGTAGTGAGGTACTGAGAGGTCTCCTCTGAAAGAGCTGCCAACAAAGCAGCAATAATTTACCGTTGCTAAATAAACTGTGTTTGACTGATCTCTTACTGAATCTCGCTTTATCTCTTGAGAAAACAGTAACAGCAGCCATTTCCTAGAGTTCAAAGTGTTTGCAGATCACTTCACTCCTCATTAGGAAACACGATCTACACTGCTTCATAAACAGGCAGTCAGAGGAGAGCTGTCTCCTCTGAGAATGCCAGAGAACTGAGCAGTGGTCATTTACCGCTGCATGATAAATGGACACCTTAATCCTTAACATAATAAAACATATTCCATTTATGTACTAATTCTCAAAGTTGAACTGTACTGCTTGCAGGGTGGGTGGCCTCTTACTATTAATTGCACAATAATATTAGATTAAAAAAAAAAAACAAGAAACAAAGAGAGGAGATGATCTGTTATTTAAAACATCCTATCAAGTTCTTGCTTTGAAAAAAGAACGTGAAAAATAGGGTCCATGGTGGTTAACATATCATTAGTCATTGGACTTTGGTTACTGCTTAATACAAATACAACAAGAAATATATTGATTGTTCTCAGTGACATATAAAATATTATTTTGTCATTTACCTCTTCATGTCAGCTGCCTAGTAGTAATTTTATAATGCTGGGCAAAGTGTTTTTGTAGAGACACTACTCACTAGTGCTCCCTTGTCATTCTCCCTTCTGTCTCAGCTGGCACAAAAATTCCTAGTATCAGGTTAGATGCTAGGGGGAGCAGTGATGTATTTTCCTGTGTCATAAGGCTGTCAAAGGGGAGGGGGTATTGTCATTGGCTGCATGGAAGATAAGAGCAGAGAGCAGCCATAGCATGGTGATTATAAGTTGGTTGGGGGCCCCCTTGCAAAGACTAGGGAGCTACTAGTGGGGTTAATTTACTAAAAAATAGAACATGTTCACTTTGCGGAGTGAATTTCCACTTTGCAAGGGAATTTTGACTTGACTTTGAATATGCTGAATATTCACTTTGCAAACAATACCCAAACATGTGCAAGAAGAATGCTAAAAAAAAGCTGTTTTCATAATTGGATGTTGGAAATCAGCAAAGTCTCATTCACTAAACTAAAGGAAATTTCCCTTGCAAATCAAACAGCTTATTTGCCTTAAGGTAATCAACACTAATCAATCCTTTATAAGCCTGCAGGTATGGTCAAATCCATGCTGTTCTGATTGTCAAAGCTCCACCATTTCCAGGTAGTGTTAAAACTTACTGTTACCTCCCATCCCATATGCACTCTTGATGGCTCAAAAAGAGACAAGCAAGTTTCTGCATTATCATGACGCATCTATATGGCCCAGCATACAACCATAACCACTGCTGATGTGCACAGGCAGCAGTTTTTTTTTTCCTGGCAGTTTTCCTTAAAAAAAATTGTGTTGAAGTTAATGCTTTAAAGAAACTTTTTCCACAGAGAAATAAAAACTCTTTTTGGTAACAATTTTAAAGCAGACTCCAAACAGCGGTGCCTTGTATAGGTTGCAATGTTATAGTTCAAATTGTTTTAGTTAAAAATATAAATCATCAATTAAAGTTTATTTGGACATATATTTTAAAACAGGAATATAAAATACATAGGAATAACTATTAAATATTAACAGTTAAAATGAAATAAAATATTTCTCAGATAATGCTTCTGTATTATTTTGCAACAATATGTGGATTGCTGGAAAGGGGACATCTCTGTGTTATTACAAGGAATACAAGGAAGGGTCCCAACCAGGTTGAATTTAGAATTACCCTTTAAGGGGCACAAGTAGAAGGCTTCATTTAGCAACAAAAAAAATTTAAATAGTCCAAAAGGTGGCCATTTTGGAAATGGTAGCTAGCTTAGGAAATTGTAATTAGCTTTTTAAATGCTCTTCATTTTAAAGTGCTAGATCATGGAAAGTCCAGTGTAACATGGAAGCTGTACTTCTCTGAACATCTTGCTGCTGTCTGATGACCTTTATTGTATTGTATGACTCATAATTCTGTACATAGCATCAAAATGATCAGTACACTATTTCTTTAGCTTTGTGCTGTAACTTCTCTGACCAGTGCCTGTGACAACAAATAAAAACGTAATTTTAGGATCATAATAATTCAATAGCAAGCATACGTTAGAGAGAACAGGGTATGTCATCATAACAAATAACGAACATTAGTTATTTATTTTACATGTTCTGTAAAGAGTACTCTTTCTCAACAATTCTGAAGCAGTTTTAACACTTCTCCCCTGTACTAGACATGTGTGTTTCATTTCGTAATGAATCAATTTTTGGACGAAAATTTGATTTTTGGAGATTCACAAGTATATGAATCTCCAAATGGACATAGTAATGAATGTCAATGAATCCAAAACAGTTATAAAGAAATTAACAAATGCATTAGTTTAATCTGTTTCATGCGGATAACGTCACACGTTAGTAGATTGGGATCATGGGGAAATTAATTAAATTTCCTCATTTGTTTGATAATTCAGATTCAAGTAAATTTGTGATTTAAATTGCATTCGTAATTGTAACAGTCAGTCAGTTCAGTTACACAGACTAATGCAATTCTTAGGTTTGAAAAATTTAGGGCTGCCAAATTTTGCATTATTTATTTTGTTGCATCCAAAAATATCAAATCCTTCCAAATAGTTTCAATATATGAATATTGAATCCACCCAAAATATACAGAAACTTTCCAAAAAAAACTGCTAAAATTTTTGAATCTACCTGGACCAATGAATATACAAAAAAGAATGCCAGATATAACAAAACAAATTCAGAAAACAAATCAGTTCAATATAACAAATATGAAGAAACAAAATTCTTCAATAAGTGGAAGCATCCAAAACTAAACGAAACAAACATTTCCAGCGTGCACATGTCTACCCTGTACTGTATATATTTAAAAAAATTGCCTTTAATAAAAGGCATCGTGATAATATAAAATGTTTTTGGTCTGTATTAAAAATAGGCAGTAACTTTACTTTACTTTACTTTACTCTATATACTTTATATACTTAGCTAATAAACTAGTTACCATACTGAATTGAAGAATTGTCACTCATTTTATAATATGAATAGAGGAAAGGGACTTATGGATAACATTTTCAAAGTAATGATCACTCTAAAATACTTATAAATTGTTTAAAAAAATGAAAAATAAATTGATGAGATCTGCCATATATAAATTAATACTTTGCATGATCATAATAATTGGCATAATCTAATCATTTTTATTATACATTTATAGCCTGCATTGTTTATGCATCATGTACCACCCCATCAGTTTAAGGTCTATTCATGTACAAATGGTACAGCCAAAGATTTAGTTTGCTTGAAATTATGTTCACTAATTTTGATTCCAATATTGCTATTTTTCAAGTTAAATATAGTTTGTTGAATGTAAATTTCATATCCCATTGTTCAGATTGTCTCAATGATAAATATATAATGGCAGACATGTCTAGTTAAATAGCAATAAAATGTTTCATCCATCAAATGGACTGTTGTGTATACATATCCCAAACAATATTATTCAAGCTATATGAAGATCTATCTCCTGATATACAGCTACGTGCTGTTGTTTTATTTAACTAAGTGTTCCAGTTTGCTGGTTATTCATAGATATGTATTGCCTAAATATTAATAAACTGTGACAGATATTACTGATATTACACGTCATACATACAGTGTTATTAGTGTTCACACTGCCTTAGGCACCTAGATGATCATGCATCCTCATACAGACTTCACCCTTCACCACGTTATCAAAAATATTGCATGTTCATTACTGGGAAATTTATTCACAGCAGCTTGATCTCTGCGGAGATAAAAAAAACTCTCTATTGTTTAAGGAACTGATGATATTGCAGCTCCTTTTGTTTTTTTCTCTCTTGTTTACTCCAAAAGGTTCAAAGATGGCCAGAAAAAAAATGTAAAATGCTAATTAGGTGCTTGGTGCTACCCCCCCCCCCCATCTCCCTTCCTACACATTGGTTAACAACTGCCTTAAGTTAAATCACCCTGTCACATGAATCATTGATGAAGAGTACAAACAGCCATGCCAACACACCCTATGCAAGCATGGTCCATTTCTCCATTATTTTCCACCAGAAAAAAATATTACATTATTACTATACGTCTGATAAATTTTTTATTTATGGACACGTACTTTTTCTTCCTAACTACATAAAGCATTGCAATCACAAAGAAACCCAACAGAACTGTTGCTGAAACACCAATGCAGTAGATCCACTTCATGTTAGGCATCTCGGGTATTGGCGATGACTCTAAAATGAGAAAAATATTCCATTATGTATTTATTAGGGTAAAAGTCTACCTAAAGCAAACTCTATCTACAGTATATTATTATAGAATTGATATTCCACAAAATATTATAATGTTCGTTCTCCATGAACAGATATAGGCATAGAAGTCATAAGGTATTTCTGCAGGGCTGGCTCATTTAGGAGCTGATTTGTGAAGTCTAGAGAAAACTAAAGTGAAAGAGAAGCTGATATATTGAAACCTAGAATAGAAATGGTTCCATAGACAACAGCACTGATTTTTCTAGTTTTCATAAAAATATGTTTTTCATTTTAAAAAGTGTCAGATCAAACAGTTTGGACACTTTTAGGTGTGTTTATAAAGTCATTTAAAGACCAATTCTGGTTAAAAGGTTTGTTTTAGAGTAGGAAGCAGATTTTTATTACCTGTGTCACCATCACAGAAATGCCCCCTCACTTTCTGTCTAGGTGACCAAACAGGAAAAGAGATCTCCCTAGCGGGGGCACAAACAGCAATGCAAAACCTGTAAAAGCTCCTAGCCCCTCCCTACTTGACTTTCTATCAATTTTATTTTTCTATTGGCGTGCCCTTGTTGGAGAGTTTTTAAATTACTTCCTGAGAGAGCTTTCAATCCTTCCCTGCTCAGTACAGCACCAAAGAAAACATTTTGGCTGAAGTTTGTCTTTAAATATGTTCAGACATTTTGATAGGGGCAATGCAATTGTCTTAAAATTAGCTGAAGTATGGACTGTGAGGTTTGTCCAACCAAGCAGAATAAAACCAGCACTTAAAAATAATAGATGTAGTCTAAAAAATATGAATTTTATTTGTCATGGTGGGGAAACATCTTCATATAGGATGTTTTGTCTGTACAAAAAAAAAGATGAGTAAGGAGAAGATGAGTGATCATAATTTTTGCAGACTGCAAAGAACAAAAAACATTAAACTGAAATTTTCTGCAGTCAGAAAATTGTACCTGCCAGTAAGCGTTTCATACCTCTCAATGGTTGATATGAGGTATGAGGAACACATTTTGGCACAAAGTTTGTAGGAAAAAGGCACACCCTATTTAGGAATACAGGCACAGATAATTAAAGGATACGTTTACCTTTGGGAAAATGTCACATGTTCCACCCGTTTTTTGGGGGGAACATGTAACATGTTCCCACTCCCAGATCTGCTGCATCTAGTGCCAGCTAGTGGGGTATCCTTTTCCCCCATCTAGCTGTCACTATTAAAAATATATATAAGTGTGAATTCTGTGAATGTAAAACTACAAGTACTGACAGCCTTTGTGGCTGTTGGATTGTAGTTCTCAATGAACTACCACAAGGCTGTTATGTGCTGTGGTAGTTCATTGTCTCTTCCTGTCAGTGTGTATCTGCCTGCCCGTATGAGGTTCAAGCAGACAGATACACTGGCAAGTCTACAGGAGTCCTGCATAGCACCCCCAATCTGTTGATCAAGGGTGCAATACTTTCTAGGCTCCAACTAAAAAGAAAAATAAATGCACTTTTTTTTACATGCAAAAAGATGTATTTGTTTTTTTTTACAATGATAAACTTATCCTTTAATGTAGAAACCCACTAGCACCTATTTTATAATAGCCTTTTAAAATAACAAATGCAATAATTTATAAGTTGGATCAATAGTATACTTTGGTAAACCACTTTTGGTTGGTAAAAAGTTCTTAACAAAAAAAAACAAAAAAAAACAGGTCCATACATTGAAGCAAAAAGAGGGACAAATGAGTAGGAATGATCGGCAGAGGGATTTGGTTTCAAATGAGGGACAGCCCCTCCACATAAGAGATCACTGGAAACGATGATATTTGTTAAAGAAGGAAGGTAGCATGAAAGATTCTGTATTAAAAGAAAAATGCATGGAAAATGATGTAACACCCAAAACTTTCTAGCAGTACTGGACCTCTATATCTTCTACATAATGTGGAGGTGCACATTATTAAAACTTGTTGTCCAGGATACATTGTAAAATGATCAAGAACCCTTTCAGGTTAGTCTATGAGGTTGATGATTAAAGCTGTTTTCATGTGGTGTGAAATTCCATACTGCTGTGTGTGGTATGTTATTTGATTAAATTCCCAGCAATAATGCTAAATAGTATAAGCCAGCTGAGATCTTCTCACAATAACAGTTTACGATCTAGCTCTGTTTACAGTACTTAGCCGACATGTCAAAAAAAAATAACAGAAAATAGCCAACAGGTGCAAATGTGTATTATAGCCCAGTTCCAGCAACAACAAAAAAAAAATTTTATTTTACAGCTGTAGAGAACAGAAAAGGATTAGAACACCTGACAACTTTTTTTCAGTTGTGTGTCCCTATTTGAACTGTAAAGTGAGGTGTGTAACCAGCACAATGGCATATTTGCCATCGAATGTATTTTATTGTGGTCACATAACAGAAAGATGTGATGTTATGGTGTCTCAGGAGGGATCGTCACTATTTTCTTCATGAAGAGGTCCACTTGAGGCCCTGAGCCATTGCATTTTTCTGTTATGTCACTACAATAAATAGTGTGAATTATGCTATTGTCCAGTGGCCATAGAGTACTTCACTTTGCATTGCTCTGCTCACAACAGCACCATCTGTCATTGTCATTACATCATCCAACTTTTTAAGAGGTCTGTATGCTGTATGGAGTGTACTCATCTACAATTTGCTTGTAAAAATAGAAGCAGAGGGAGACACTATTTGTGATATTCTTTTTGCATATATTCAACTGTTTGCCAGGAAACTAATACAACTAATGTTAATTTTTGTGCAGCTAATGCTCATTCTCGTGAAGCTAATGCTCATTTACGTGCAGCTAATGCTAGTGCACATGTACAGCACACAGACGAGCTTGGGATAATATCCAGTGTGCATTGATACATAGGCACGTGTGTGTGCCAGTGTGCATTGGTGCGCACATCCTCCTGCATTGGTGCCAAGCTGCCTAATTAAAAGAGATCCTGCTGTGTGCTAATCGCTGGATGTTCTTCAGCTCCCCATGATCTTGTTTTTGCTGACTGATCCTTCGCTGCAGACTTCGCTTGTTCCTGGCCTTGCTCTGTGAACTCTGACCTCTGACCTCAGCTTGCCTCTTACTATTCTCTTCTTGCTTCCCTGATGTTGACCCATACAGGACCTTGCTCTGCCTAATCTCCTGATGCAGACCTCGGCTTACTACTGGACCTTGCTCTACCTACTTCTCTGGTACTGACCCCTGCTTCCTGACCACGCCACTGTCTCACCATATTTGACCTTGGCTCACGTTGACTAAATTCCTGACCATGGAAGTCACCTGCTATCAAGTTACCGGCACCCATGCTTTTTTGAGCCTTGTACCTCTGTCACCGCATTCAGGGGTGTTTGGATTAGAGCCGCAAGTGAAACCCTCTCGTCAACTCAGCCTCCAACCAAGGTACGTGACACTGTTTTGTCTATTCCATTTTCCTCTGACTAATGATATTGTAATTACAGTTTACACATTACCTTTCCAACAGCTTTCGGAGCTCCAATCACTCCAATATCCATCATCTGCACAGTATCTGTTTGTTTTGCCTCGGATACGGACACAGAATCCAGGCAAAGGCATAGACATGTTAAAGCTATGAATAAACTCTGTCTGTTCTGCAATTGTCTAGAAAGCAAGAAATTAAAATTGAAATGGAAGTATTAAAAACAATAGAAAAGGCTTCTGGTTTATTCAAAAAGTCAGAACAATGATTAATGAATTCTTGCAAATTGTAACTAACCCTAATAACCAATCAGATTTCAATTTACAGTTGACAGACCAACTAAAGCCCATGTAAAAAGCAGAAATAGAAAAGGCTCTAGAGGTTGGGTCAGAGATAGGCAAAATTAAAAAATTGCACATAGTTTTATAAGTTCTGAAAACAACTGGGTCGGCGATTAATAAAATGCTGGAGGATTATCATTTTCAGAAGGAGGTTTTTCCTTAAACTGTACTTTTAGTGAAAAGTCAAGCAGAATAAACTTTCATCTGAGGTCTGCAATGCAAGTGTTTGAGACAAGATACTTTTGCACCCAAGGTGAAGAACCCAATGTTCAATAAAGGTAACATCATTTAGGGCCAAAGCACACCTTTTACACTGTGGTGTGTTGTTGTAACACATCTTACCACAAAACAGTTAATGCATGCATTAACACTAAGGCAATGCAACTTCAAAGCACATGCATTGTAGTCCTCCACAACCCATGACAATACACGACCTACTACATTTCTATTTTTGGTAAATACCTGTGCATTGTCAGCCCATTGCAATTGAATAGGCTACCTTAACACATAGCATATTAAGGTGTGACACAGTGTGCAACAGTGCAGTATATAGGAATAAGGAAGTGGGAATGGGCCCCTAAATTTTACCCATCTTTCAGTAGTTTTTCCAGATTAATCTGGACAAAAATATTTATTACATAGTGTACATCTGTCATGTGCATGCAAATATCAGTTATGGAAACTGCTACTTTAAGAACAACCTGTCAATTGTGAGCAGCAGGGCTCACAACAACCAATCCTAGTTAATTTTGTACTTTAATTTACCAAAATACATTCTGTTTATTAACAATAGTTTTTTTCTTGTTTTGTATGGAACAGGGTATGGTTAACACTGTCATATTTTTATTGCTATCTGTGTTTCCACTTTGGATGTTTATGTTATCATCTGAACAGAATATTAGGGGAAAACATCCTGTGCACTTGTACAACAGACATTTTCCATGCTACTGATGACGTCAATTCTGGCGAAACAAGTCAGACCAGACATGACGCCACCAAGCCTGTGCGAATGAGTACAGCATTTTGGGTATTGTAGTCTGTTTTGATGCTGATCACTGTAGATGTTTTTACTGGAGTTTCTTTATTTAAATAAAACATCTCTTGAGGATTTTATACTATGAAAGTGTGGTGCTCTCGGTTTTCTCATTCTTGAGCTTTCATTCGTGGCAACAGATCTGAGCAGGGAGTTCCGAGTAGAAGTGGGTGTTTAACCCTAAACTCAAGCGTTGCGTTTGACTTTCGGACTTTTATTTGTTCTTTACACTGCTGTTTTTTGCACATTACATTTCACATTTTAGATTGCATTATTGATTTAAAAAGCCTGATGTCATTTGATGTACTGATTTCTAAGCATGGCATATTGGGGGCGCATGCGCGGCCAGCACTGAAGTTGGACGTGCAGTAGAACCGCGCCGTCCACCCGCCAGCCTAAACGCGGGTCAAACCGGCCCTGGGTATCTGTAAGTGTGAGGCACCGATACACATAAGGTGCTCGCACACCCGCTGCAATGCCAAGGAGGAAAAAATCCCTGGATCAGCCAGGGAAACTAACAAAATTCTTCCCGGCCGTCGGGCCGGGAATCCAAGATGGCGCCCGCGGCTGCAGACAGGGAGACAACAGCAGCACTCAGCAGGAGGACTACAGGGCTCAGCAACCGGATCCCAGGCTGCAACAATCACTATACCCAGGGGACCCTGGTGAGTTGTCTCCCCCACTGTCCCCTACACTACGCAGCCCAGCTAAATCCAGGCCACGGCTAGATCAGGACACTAGCACATTTCAACAGGCCTCAATTTCTTCATTACAACCACCCCATGCTGCTATGCCTGACTTAGAAGCATTCCCGGTGTCAGACATACCACTGACAGAAATATGCATGAAAAATATGCTTACGTCATTGCGCCAATCTTTACATAACGATATCTTTACGCCACTTAACCAACTATCAACTTTAGTACAACAGCAAGAACATAGAATCAGCCACATTGAAAATGCCATGGGAGACATAACAACGGCGCACAACAACCTAATTGATGCGCACACAGGGCATTCGGCTGACATTGAGCAAATCAATCAAAAATTAGCTGATCTGGAAGACAGATCACGTCGCAACAACATCAAACTCAGAGGCATTCCCGAATCTGTCACCAACGCTGACTTAATCCCATACATACAGCAATATGTCAAAATACTCCTCCCTGCTATCTCTGACTTGGAGCTCGCAATTGACCGGGCACAACGCTTACCTAAGCCCCCTTTTTTGCCGGCATCCATTCCGAGAGATGTATTGGCACGCATTCATTTTTTCCACGTGAAAGATAAAATTATGTCGGCGGCTCGAAACCCACCGCCGCTCCCACCATTATACACGAATCTCCGATTATATGCTGATTTGTCCAAAGCTACCCTCCTTAACAGAAAACGAATGATATCTATCACCAAGGCCCTAAGAAACCATGACATAGCATACCAATGGGGGTTTCCCACCAAACTATTGGTGTGTCATCAAAGTAGAATTTTTACTATCAAAACTTTGGAGATGGGCCTGGATCTACTGAAAACTTGGAATATACTCCCTGCTGATCCGCAAGAACCCACATATAGCTCTATGGAGGCAACTTGATCTTCACAAGACATACTCTTCCTCCTTTCCTTATATATCTCCATACTTTTACCCAGGAGCAATTTTCTAATCCGATTGTCTGGCGTTTGGCCTACATTTGGTTCAGTTCGTTCAAAATGGTTGTAATTGGATCGACCCCCGTCTGGCGGTCAAGCCCACCTGCATCCCCCAGTTTTGAGGTAGCAAAGTTGGCTACTCGGGACATTTGCATTTTTTGCAAATCCTTTTTATTGTTATTCTTCCTATCCTTACCCCTTCCCTACCATGGCACCTTTGGATACCCACGCAACACCCATATATCACCTATTTCGACACATCTTGGAATACTCCCCTCAACACTCCGATTGAGTCACAATTCTATCACCTCCTCCTACATGCTTGTCTCCTAGCTAGACACAGGATCATCTGCCTCTCCCAAATACCACCTCAAGTCATGGAAAAGCGAGAAATCATAACTCCAAATGATTAGTCTTACATCACTTAACGTCCGAGGTCTGAACTCGCCATATAAACGCTCGTTACTCTCTAGAGAAGCACGGAAGTCACAAGCGGACATACTCTTTATTCAGGAAACACACTTCGCTACTGAAAAGACGCCTAAATTATACCTACCTCCACCGTTTCTCTCAAACATTTATGGCAACTAACCAAAAAAAAAGAATGGAGTGATCACGGCCATTAAAGATTCCCTCTCCTTTCACCTTTTGTCACAGAGGGCGGATCCACTTGGACGCTTTCACGTTTTAGTATGCCAAATAAATGACAAGACTTATACCCTGGTAAATGTTTATGGCCCGAACTGCAAACAGCTATGTTTCTACCGTAAACTTTACAAAACCATCTCCATACTTAAACAAGGGAAACTCATCATCGGCGGGGATCTTAACATTACGGGTAATTCGAACATGGACTCTTCTTCTACTTCAAAATCCACGAAACCAACTATCAATCAATTTCTGCACGACAATGATCTATACGACATCTGGAGATGTCAACATGGCTCTGAAAAAGACTATACTTATTACTCCCCTTCACATCTTTCATACTCACGGATAGACATGTTTCTCACGGACAAATGGACATTGCAACAAGTGACAGCATCCAAAATTGGAACTATAACTTGGTCGGACCATGCCCCGATTCATATATCATTAGACGACGACCAAAAACACAGCGCTCCCACCCATCTGGAGACTCAACTCTTCACTTCTGACGATGCCGGAGAACCAGAAGCGTATCCAAGAAGCCCACAAACTCTTTTTTGACACCAACGCCACACATGATATTTCTATTACCACACTTTGGGTGACTTATAAGGCCTACATGAGAGGTATTCTTATCCAGTTAAACGCCCGCGCTAAGAGACAGCGTTCTCAACAAATTGATCAGCTCATGACTTCCATTCGCGCTAATGAAAAACTAAACAAACAGAATCCAAACCCTGACATAACAACGACTCTAAACTCAGATAGGAACAAACTACGTGCCATTTTACTCCACGCATACGACACTAACCTACAAAAAACAAAAGCAAAATTCTATGCACTCGGTAACAAGGCAAATTCACTCCTTAGTAAAATTATCAAACAAAAACGTCTTAAATCCAAAATATCCACAATCCGACATCCTGCTTCGCACGACACTCTGACGAACCCACAGGATATCGCAAATGCTTTTGCGGCCTACTATCAGACATTATATAATCTAAAAGACGATGTCAATACAATCCAACCCACGACACATTCAATAGAACAATTTCTATGTAACATTAACCTCCCACACATAACCCCGTCTCAACTTGAATCCATTTCTGTACCAATCTCTTCGGCGGAGATTGAAAAAAATCATACGCACCCTCCCTCTGAATAAATCACCAGGGAACGATGGCTTCACTAATGAATACTACAAAGCCTTTGCCCCCGACCTTTCTCCGCACCTATCCCCCCTCTACAACCATGTCGCTACTTGTGGCGCATTCCCCCAAGAAATGCTGCAATCGATAATTACCACCATCCCGAAACCAGGAAAAGACCCTCAACTGGTACAAAATTACAGACCAATTTCGCTCCTTAATACAGATATAAAGATTTACGCTAAGATAATCGCCCTAAGACTGATCCCTTACCTACCGACTTTAATCCATCCTGACCAGGTAGGATTTATCCCTGGTAGACAAGCCCCTGATGCCACCAGACGGATTATATCCCTGTTACACCACCTTGAATTAGATCCTCAACCTTCGCTCTTATTATCGTTTGATGCAGAAAAAGCGTTTGACCGAATCCACTGGAAGTTTATGACACATACGCTCCAAAAATTTTGAATAAATCTGACTGGATACTTTCGGCCATTTTGTCCCTTTATTCCAAGCCATCGGCCAGGGTCCTGACTGACGGCACACTTTCTCAACCCTTCTACATTTCTAACGGAACTAGACAAGGCTGCCCGTTATCCCCTATAATTTTTGCGCTACTCATTGAACCATTAGCAACCACCCTTAGAAATGACCCCAAGTTCACGGGAATTAGATGCTTAAAATCCGAACACAAAATAAGCCTATTTGCCGACGACATTATCCTAATGGTCACTAATCCATACAACTCCTTTAAAACTATACAAACGCATATTCGAAACTACACATCTGTATCTTACTATAAACTTAATGAACCGAAATCTTCTATTTTGAACCTACACACACCAGAGGTCACCCAAAATCTAATTTCCAAACACTTCCCCTTCACATGGGAAAAACTTAACATACCATACTTGGGAATCAAACTGACTCCAAAGACCAACCTACTATATGCCGCTAATTTTAAACCATTACTTGAATCCATTCCGCAAGAGATTAAAGGCCTACGCACCACTACTCTCTCGACACTGGGCAGATTGGCGACAGTTAAAATGTGTATCTTACCCAAGATACTTTATATCTTTCGCACGCTCCCTATACCAGTTCCTCACATCTTTTTTACAAAACTTCAGGCAATATTGAACAAATTCCTTTGGAATGCGAAAAAGCCTAGATATGCTACAAATCTACTAATCCGCCCATCCTCTAGAGGCGGAGCGGGACTCCCACATATGAAATCATATTACCTAGCCACTTTACTTGACCAGCTCTTTTTTTGGTGGCAACCCACGTTCAACAAAACTTGGACTCTTTTGGAAGCTTCCTTATTCCTACCACACACCTTGTCAGACTTATTATTCATACCTCGAGGGACACACATTACGCATTTACATGGTCACCCTTGTATAATAGCCTCTCTAACAGCTTGGTATGACTTTATTTCTCATACCCAACTACGTAAGGACAACCTCCAAATTCTCACCCCGCTCTCATCCCTACACTTCCTCTCTCCTTATTTAAACTTAAAATTATGGAACGACCATGGCTTACTCTACATACAAAACCTGTACACCAACAATACAATACATTCCTTTCAGACTATTAGAGAAAAATACCAAATCCCAGCTACTGAATACTTCACCTATATACGTATACCCCATACCCTCTACAAAGCGAATGTACCCTGTAGTATTAAAATCCCAGCGACTACACAGCATTTCTTACAAAACTCAACCTATCCAAAAAAAGGCATTTCATTGTTCTACAAACTCCTAGTTGAATCGCAATTTAATACACACACATCGTCCATAACAAACTGGGAAAAAGCAATTCAACAACCCATATCTCTGAGCACGTGGGAAAAAACCTTTACCATGACTTATAAATCTTCAAAGTGCAGTTCGCACTGGGAATCGTACCTGAAAATACTCCATCAAGGGTACTTAACTCCTGTCAAATTAGCCCTATTCTATCCTCAACACTCACAATCCTGCTGGAGACATTGTGGGGAATCAGGTACTCTCACACACTTATTATGGGCGTGCAGGTCCCTGACTTCCTATTGGAATCAAGTCTTTCAAATAATCTCTTCCATTACAAAGACACCAATAGCCCCAAACCAGGCTCTAGCGCTCCTCCATATCGGAATAGATAAAATTCCACTGTCCTCACGCACCATCACTATACATATTCTGTCAGCTGCAAAACTCAATATCACCAGACTTTGGCGGTCTACTAACACTCCCTCTTTATCCCGACTGCTGTCCGATCTTAACTTCCTATGTGAAATGGAGAGGAGAACAGCCCTCCATAACTTCTCATACCACAAATTTGAGACTCAATGGACCCGATGGTTACACAACCCCAACTGCTCGATAAAATGATTATATAAGATTCGACCAAACTACATGATTATGATATCCTAGGTGCCTCTACCCCCCCTCCCCCCTTCCTCTTTTCCCTTCCCATTCTCTCCTTTACTGTTCATACCACAATTCAATAAGGTGCACTAAATTGAGCATACCTCTCATGTAGCTGAACCAAGATTTCGCAAAGTACCTCGGCCGGCTGGCGTGGTACCACTACCCCATTTTACCTTACCTATGCAAGATTTTGTATTAATTGTGCACCTCTCTATGCTAATGTTTTCAATTATTTTGTATGTTTCAAATTTTCCAATAAAAATATTTGAATATAAGCATGGCTTATTTGGTATTTAACTGTTTATTGTGTGTTTATATCCTGCACATTTTTGCCTCAACTCACTTATCACTTTGGTTTCTTTTTATAATAATAATTTTTATTAAAGTTTTGATGCAAAATAAAGTTTTGTGCAGTACACACATTTCTAGTTTTTACAATTCACAACTGCCTAGTCCAAAAAGTGAGTGAATCCAGGCCAAAAAATACTTAACTTTTATTACACTCTAATATTACAAAAACAAAAAAAATCTAATAATAAACCATATGATACAAAGTAGAATGATTTTCAAAATGTGTTGGAAATTAAATATGGAAGAAGAAAAAGAAAGAATGACATAATACAAACCTTCCAATTGCCTGTTTGGTCTTTATACTGAATTTCATATTCTAAACAGCGTGAAGGAATTTTGCCATTGGGTGGTGTCCAATCCAATGTGAATTCATCAGCTTGGCGTTTGCTGATATTTACATCTTCTGGAGGACCAGGTTTACCTATTATATTAATAAGAATCTAATTTTGTTTAAATTCCACAATACATTTGCTTTAGTTCCAAATGCAAACTATTCCAGATCTGACAGCTCATTGGAAGCTTACTGCAAACTTTCTAAATGAAAAAAAAGTTTTTTTCATTCAAGCTAATATCAGCTATGTAGGAGGAACAGTGTTACAACCTATGCAAACATAGGTTCCATAGATTTCAGTGTTCTAAATAGCGTAGGTTTTATTAAAACTGTTCACAATCTATGTAAAAACTGATCAGTTGTGGGAACAGACTTGACAATGTTAAGTGTAGCTTTACTTTAAAATTGGAGAATAGCAGTGAACACCATGATTTCACATTGAAACAATCAGGGTATTTGAATGTCTCACCTATATTTTGAAGCTGGAAAGAAAAGTATGAAGGTCTGATTGGATCCATGCCAGGGATTCCAGTGACACAAACAAACAAATTAGAGAACAGCTGAAGTTCCTGCCTTTCAAATATGCATCCAGTGTTCTTTCCAATTGTTTTCAAGTAGTGATTGCAGGTCTTTTTCTCAGACATTCCCACTTGCCTTTCAAAAGAAATAATATTTACTGCATCATTCCACATAGCAATTGACTTGATTTTTTACATGTTTTGAGCAGGGGCGGACTGACAACTCATGGGGCCCCCGGGCAATAGGGGATCATGGGGCCCCTGTGTCCTTGCCCAAACTCACAAAAGCCTATGAAAAAGGTACCAGGGGCATCTCATGGGGCCCCCTACTGACCCCGGGCCCTCGGGCAGTGCCCTAGTTTCCAAATGGTTAGTCCACCCCTGGTTTTGAGAGAAGACTACATTGGGGTTTAAGACTACTGGACCCATATGGGTATGTATAACACTCTAGACCACTAGCAGCAGCATACTTATGAAATATGTTGCTCTAATTGATACTCTATTCCAATATAACAGAACAAAAGTGCAGCACTGAAATCAATACGAACTCTATAATGCAATATAGTGCAATACATCCAAAAAACCAATGAGAAACAATAATAATGTTGCTCTTCAACTTTTGTTACTAAAGTGAAGATAGTGTTAATTGAAGTGACAGGTAAATCAATACTGACACAGTGTGAATAATCCTCTTTAAAGTGATTACTAGTGCTGATAAAGTGACAAAGTCCGTATGTATAAATGATAATAAACGTGAAGTTCCAATATGAGATCTCAGATAGAGGTGATCCTTTTTCTATCTTCTGGTGATATATAAATAATAAAATTGCGCACTCACCAGATGCACAATAACATTACACATTTGAGAACACAATTTCTCAGTAGGTCAGCTGGATCCTCTTATGGACATTTACACCCTAGTATGGACTCCCCTCTGGATCATCAGTAGAATGCAGCACCTCTCACCTCCTCCTTATATGGCTCTGTGGGTGGTAGGCTTTGCCATTTTGCTGCTAGTGTAAAGTAGGTTTCAAAGGATGGCCTGCTGTGTTTCCCCCTCTGGCTAGCAGTGAGATGCTGCTGATCAGGCGGAGTGTCAGAAAGCAATGGAGACCCAGCCACAGCCCAGTGTGTGGAAGTGAACTCAGCTCTCCCAGACACACCCTACCTGCGATGTCGGGACGTACGGGGACGGAACAGCGGAAAATTTGAAAATGACAAAAAGTGACATTCACTAAATTCACTAAAACATAGTAAAACATTACTTTATCAACCCATTTCACATACATTTTGTCCTTAGTGCTTTGTCCTGTGCCCTGCCTACATTTTTACTGTTCTTTCTGCCTGGAAACTGAGAAACGTCCCTGGCGTCCAAAAAGTGTCCCTTTAGGTCAAAATCAGTGTTAGACCAGCTAGAGAACAGCGATAGTAAATTAGAACTACTTGCAGAATTGAGTGATAAAGATTCGTGGGGAAATTCATCATCAGACACTGAAAACGATTTTGCGACTTTGCTCAGTGATGTGCGAACTTGGTGCTATATTTCAAATTTCAGTGTTTTTGGTTTGATTATATTATTGAATTTAATTTATTATTACATTATTATTTTTTATGATTATTTATTAAATTATAATTTATGATTTCGTGTTTCAAATTTTAACATACTCGGAATGTTTACTAGACTCTTGTTCGGACAGATTTCAGTGACTTATTCCTAAAAATTACAGGCCTACAGAAAAAAAAATACATATTTCCATGCAAAAAAAGTAACGCTTTGAGCACAGAAATATGGACATAATAATCAGACCGCTAGGGAGGTTAATCCAAACACAGGTAGGTAACAAGATAAATAGAAAACCAAAAACTGACCATATAAATGTTGTCAAGATGGTCACCGGACCTGCAAGGGGCCTCGACGGCGTTTCGTGCTCTAGCACATAGTCATAGGGGGTGTGCCTGCAAACGTCCGACGTCCTGTATGCCCTATTTATAGTAAAAAATGGTGCGCGTGCATATCGCGTCCGCCATTTTTGCCGGCTGTTCGCCGCATGCGCGTTACATCAGGTGCCATGTTTCCGGCTATCCTGCACCTGCGCAATACACCGGCGCCATTTTGTTGTGGATCTGCAGAACGTTAATAGATCCATCTAAACTTCAGCAAAATGCGCGTGAGTCCGGGTGCCATTTTCCTGATGAATAACAGCTTCATAGAATGACTTTCCATGGTCAAGCAGCAGCCTCCAAGCCTTACATCACCAAGTGCAATGCAAAGCTTCGAATGCAGTGGTGTAAAGCACGCCACCACTGGAGACATGTTCTCTGGAGTGATGAATCACGCTTCTCTGTCTGGCAATCCAATGGACTTGTTTGGTTATTGCCAGCAGAATGGTACTTGGCTGACTGCCAACTTCGTGGGAACAGTTTGGAGATGGACCTTTCCTGTTCCAACATGACTGCGCACCAGTGCACAAAGCAAGGTCCATAAAGACATGGATGAGCGAGTTTGGGATGGAGGAACTTGACTTGCCTGCACAGAGTCCTCACCTCAACCCGATAGGACACCTTTGGGATTAATTAGAGTGGAGACTGCAAGCCAGGCCTTCTTATCTGACATCAGTGCCTGAACTCACAAATGTGCTTCATGAAGAACCCTATGGACGAAGATTGGGATGCCATAAAAGTTCATGGGCGTGTAAAAGCGGGCATCCCAATACGTCTGATATACATTTTTATATATATATATATATATATATATATATATATTTTTTTTTTTTTTTTTAAACTGATCCAGCTGGCACAGATTTCTTCTTTTAATATTTTTGTGAATGACTAAGGTCTATGCATAGATTACCAACATTCTGCAATCATTCATTATGCATACAGCCTGAAGCTTTCGTTATGTGATTGTTTGCTAAATATATGTTCTGTATTTCTGATATTACTTGTCTGAAAATATTTGACAAGAATAAAACTTAATCTATGTAGATATGTGATTTACAGCATCCTGAGCTGTCATGCCCAACTATCCATACACACATCAATGTGAGTCCACATTGGAAGCAAAAAGCAAAGCACCATGCAGGAAAATGCACAGTTCACAATGGCCTTACTGACTTCTGACATATAAGGCCAGTGTTCAGGGATAAGTGCCTTTGTTCAGACATGCACATGTTCCTTGATGTATTAAATAACATGCATGCATAGATTACTCCAGTCTATGAAGATATGTTAATAACGGCATCCTGGGATATAGATTACTACATTGCTATAAAATGCAAATAAGAGACAGGGTCCTGTGTTAAAGTACTGTATATGAAAGCCCTCACTTTGTAAAACAATCCATACAGTTTATAATAGAAATGAAAGGTAAAACAGTTGTGTATACATATAAAAAAAACATTATAAATACCTTGTTTCCCCTTTTTTATTATTGATCACATACCCTCTGTTCTCAGCTGCATATAGATTTGAGGGAGGAAAAGCAGCAGCACACTGATCTTCCCAGTGAATGGCTGTGAAGAGGGGGCATGTCAGCACAAGCCTGATCATGTAGGAGCACAGCAGGAAAACTGACCATGCTGTGCTCTGGCTATCCTGCCTAGTGTGGTCAGTTTTTTGATAGGAAAGCAAGGGACTAGCAGGAACCCCAGGGATTTGACATGAAGGAAACAATACAAAGAGAACAGAATACCTTTTCATACAAGTTCATGGTACAGCAGGCACCTATCAGGAATATGAAATGTTGTGTTGAATATTCTTTAAGTGCTTTTTGAAATATTTTTTATGCGTTTGGTTTTAACCTTTTGTAGAATGTTAGTAATTAACAAGTGAGCTTTAAATTGAAAGGAGGGTTATTCCTTGTTTTGTTGTATTCTTGTATGAAGATTTTTGTCTGCCTGCTTGTGAGAATCATCCCTATATTTGTCCTGGAGGCTGTTGTCACCAAGGCAGAAAGTGAGGTCAAACTCCTACATGTTATACAGTGACCCACAAAAAATACTTAAGGGTCCCCGCTCAAGCTGTCAAGGTCCAATGAATTGGATGCCGTTCAATAGTGAGGGTGCAGGCTGAGGCAAGGCATGCTGCAGAAATAGGAAGAGATAGCCATGGCACTGCACACCTCGCCTGATCCAAGTGGTTAGCAGGTAAAAGCAGCCTCAGCTCGATTCATCCAGACCACATCTCCATGGACCGGGCGAGGTGCGTGATGGCTGGACTATCATATGCTATTTCTGCAGCATCCTAAATGTTACAGTTGTCACTAGAGAAAGAGGTAAGGAGATATCATCCAATGAGGATCCCTTGGGAGAATATTCGATTTCCTGCTGTGCCTCCACAACAGGAAGTAAAAGGAAATCTCCTCAGCCGGATGCAGACAAGCAATAAATTGAAAAGGGTTTGACCCTTCAACACTGTATCCGAAATGTAAAAACCTTTTGGCTTCGCATACACTTTAAGCCTGAAATTTTAAGAAGGAGGGAGTTGCATGGAAGCAAATACAGTAAGGTTAGGTTATGTGAGGTTCTGTAAATATAGAATACATACCAGTATTGTAACTCGTAATTGCCATTGCTGAGTTTTCCAGTTTTCCACTCACATCTCAGTGTTTCAAATTTGTAATATATGCAGTAAAAATCTTTAACACTCGATTCAGGATCCCCTGCAAAGGTTAACAAGCTGATTCACAATTTGTATGGTTTTATGTATAGGTGCAATCCTTAATTAAAACTAAATTTCAGTCAAAACATTTTTCTAGTTTTGGAAAGATTGAGGAATGCTTAGGACATTTGTCTTGTTAAACTTGCAGGTTGTGATTCCATTGCAGAGATTTCCATGACTTTTTGTCATTGTTACAACATGACGTCACGGTGTTATTGACTCCTCCTACACGTTTCGTGTAACACACACGTTGTCTGGGTGGATCGTCCACCCAGACGACGTGTGTGTTACACGAAAAGTGTAGGAGGAGTCAATAACGCCATAACGTCACGCCGCCGGAGCAACATGGAGCTCCGGCGGCCATCTATTCTCCAGGACGGTTAGTCCTAGTTGCACTGCTATTTGTATTTTCCACCTGGAAACCTGCCACCTTCTGGATGTTTTATGCCTAAATAAATGCCTTAACATACTACACTATGGAGTTTCTTCTGCTTTAAACTCCCTTGGGTAGGATTACTTTACAGATTCGCAGGACTCACAGTAAGGATTCCCATACACCCGGTGAGCTGACCTGTCCATCCCTAAAAGGTCCCCGGTTACTTCACCATCACATACCAGAGGTTACAAGATCCATTCGTATTCAGTGAGCGATTCATCTCCATTCCTGACCAGACCTTGATGAACCTTAGTGACTTCAGGATATTTATATACAAATGCGCATTTGATTATGCGCTCTGGTGAGTGCGCATTCTTATCACTTCTGACTGCACAAACACCAGTTTCTGGTTGGAATAAGGATTCATGTTTTCTGACACCGGCTACGAAGTAATTTTTCTCCCTCACTGATGTGCACTGATGAGGCTGCACTGATGAACACTGATAGGCTGCACTGATGGACACAGATGAGGAGGCACTGAAGAGGCTGCACTGATTTGCGGCACTGATGATCACTGATAGGCAGCACTGATAGGCGCACCTGATGGGTACTGATACGCAGCACTGATGAGAAGGCACTGATAGGTAGCACTGATGGGCGCTGATAGCCAGTACTGATGAGCACTGATAGGCAACACATGTGATGGGCACTTATAGGCGGCACTGTTGGGCACTAATATGCAGCATTGTTTGGTACTGATAGGCACTGATGGGACTGCACTGATCATCAAGGCACTGATGATCAGTGCCCTGATTATCAGTGTAAATGTTCCCAGTGTGAATTACCGGTTACCGGCTCTCCTTGCGCTGTGACAGTGCATGAGGAAAGGACTGTTGATAACCGGCAAGTCTGTTTACAATGTGATCAGCGCAAATTGGACCCAGCTGATCACATGGTAAAGGGCCACTGTGATTGGCCCTTTACCACAATCGGTGATCAGCTGTGTCCGAAGGACACAGAGATTGCAGCGCGTGCTGGGCATGCGCCCTAGGGGGGTATGGGGGGGTGCGGTTCTGAGAGGAGGTCTATAGATGCCCTCCCAGAACTGGACAATCATGCTGTAGTTTTCTTTTGGCTGTAGCGCAGTCAGGAAGTAGTTAAACTACTGACAGTTAAAGCTTAAGTGCAGAAAAATCAGCACAAGGGACTTAACTTAAAGTTAGTGGGATGTGTCCCTTTTTCTGATATCTCTTCTATTAGGTGAAATCCACCTTTGTTCATGACCCCTCCCAAGCCCCACACTACCTTAATCTTCTGGAGCTGCAGGGGGTAATAGTACTGTAGGGGCTGTCACAGGCTCTCATCAAGAGTGCCTAGCTATGCACCCCTTTCCACTCAGCTTGACCATTCAAAGAAGCTGTACTACAGCTTCTATGAATCAAATTTGATCTAAGAATCGATGGGACACTTTCAATCATCTGCCCATCCTCCATTCATAGATACTGTAGTGCAGCTTCTATGAATGGCAGAGCTTGGCAGAAAAGATAGGCATAGTTGAGCTTTCTTTATGAGATGATGAGAGCCTGTGACAGCTCTCACAGTTCTATTAGTCCCCGCTCACCAGAAGATTATGAGAGCATATTAGGCATCAGCACAAGGGACACATCATACTGATTGTACGTTATGTACCTGTTATGTGCTGATTTTTGTTTTTTTATTTTTCGCTGCACTTAGACTTTAAACAGATCAATTCCTCTAAGCATAATACAATTATCCTGCAATTGTCATAAAAGAATAATACAGAACTAATAATGAAACCTCACAAAGATTATGTGGTCCATAAATCAAAGTAATTTAAGTGTTTGAAGAGAAATTTTTTGGATCGAGAAGGGATGGGCTAAAACCCCTATCAGTTTATTATTGCAGTTTGTGTCCTTTTTTTTCCTTCCCAAAGACACAACAGGAAGTGAGAGGAAATTTATGCAAAGTGAGAGGTATTTCCCTTTAGGACAGTTGTTGTCAGAACAGGGGTTCCTATTCGAAGATTGCTCCTCATCGTTTGTTTTGGTGACAGATTTAAACTTTTCGATTTCCCATTACTGTCAATCAGAAAATATGGGGATTTAGAATAATTAGGCAATGCCATGACAAACACAAGTGAATATCTTGGTAATCTATAAACTTGATAAACTATACAAAAGCATGTGAGCCAAGTAAATGCACCTGGTTATCTGAAACCAATTTGCAACCTTTTTGCATAGGTTTTCACTAACACTATCATTGTCTCTGCAGCCTTATTTTTTACATATTACTCATATTGAGACTCAAATTATAAAATGGCAAAGTGCTGCTTCTGAGCACCCACAAGGGATTATTTAGCTAGTAAAGAGTATGGACTCATTCACACTATGTGCAGTGACTGGCTTTTTTCCATACTGGATAAACACCAGTCATTGCAAGAACAGAAAGAAAACAATTGTTTTCTGTGTGCGCCCTTCACACCACAATTCTGGTGCAGTGCAGAAAAATGCAGGTACAGTTCATTTTTCCGCACTGCACCCTGGATGGAACCACACGTCATTGTACTGCAGTGTAACACACCGTGCTGCTGTGTGGAGACATGAATGAAATGCATTTCAAATAAAGATAAACTAAAAAAGAAAGGGCAATGCATTGAAGTGCACATCATACTGCTCTGTCAACACAACTTAATTGAGGGGATAACTGACAGCTGCCTGCACACCAAAGTGGAACCTTTAGCACACAAATAGTGTGCACCAACCCATTTTACCCTGATCTCACTTTATTCATTTGTGGAGCATGAGTTTTTATTAAAGAATAATTCCGGGTATGGTATATTTTTACATAGTTACATTGGTCCAGATTGGACCAATGTACTTAACTATGTTCAGTATATACTGTACCTGGTCAATGACACTGGAAGTCACCTAAAGTGGAACTTCACTTTCTCAATAAACATGGGCTATTTTTAATCCTTATGCTGATAGCATTAGTAAATAGATAGGAAAGTATATTGTATTTACTTGTTTTAAAGTTTTTTTTCTGTACTTTTCTTCAGTTACTTCCTGGTTTCCATGCCTAGGCAAATTATATCATACATCCCAGCAGTCTTCAGGAGGAGAGGGAGGATTTTCCGCTCAACCCATGCCTGAGCTAAGGGCAGATGGATTCCAGGAAGTAAATGCTACATGAATCATCTACTCTTACCCAAGATGGTCACTGCCAGAAATGCTAGAGGGTGTTTTTCAAAATTATTTCTCAGCAACATAAAGCATGGAGAGGAGAATGGATTGGTGAGTTTGCTTTGAATATTAACAATCAATTAAATAGAATTTTTGGTTTGTGGTGGTCAGATGCAATGCAGTACTACTTTAAGTAGACACCGTTACTCCAATGATCTCCAATTGCTGTCAAGTCCTGTGCTGAGTGGCTGGCCTTATACATTCTAAATGCTGGAGATTGGCCACCACTTTAAGTAGACACCACTACTCCAATGATCTCCACTTGCTGCCAGGTCCTGTGCTGAGTGGCTGGCCTTATACATTCTAAATGCTGGAGATTGGCCACCACTTTAAGTAGACACCACTACTCCAGTGATCTCCACTTGCTGCCAGGTCCTGTGCTGAGTGGCTGGCCTTATACATTCTAAATGCTGGAGACTGGCCACCACTTTAAGTAGACACCACTACTCCAATGATCTCCACTTGCTGTCAAGTCCTGTGCTGAGTGGCTGGCCTTATACATTCTAAAAGCTGGAGAGCGCCCACTCAGCACAGACAGCATTCAGAGAATGTTTTGCATTTTCTGATTGAATGCAACACATACTCTGATTGGAAGTGGTGGAGAGGCAGGGCAGTGATGTCTCGCTCTCCACCTCGTGCAAGTAGAGAATGCTTTGCATTCAATCAGAAAATGCAAAGTTTTCTCTGAATGCTGTCTGTTGCCATAGTGCCAGTGCTGAGCAGCCAACCTCCAGTGTTTTGAATGCATCAGGCCAGCCACTCAGCACAGGACCCAGCAGCAAGTGGAGATAACCGGAGTAGTGGTGTCTCCTTTAGTGATTTCCAACTTGTAGGGACCAAGTATAGTATAGTTACACTGGTCCAAGCTGGAAAAGCTGGAAACCTATACCATACCTGGATTTCATCTTTAATCATTTTTTATCGTGTATGTGAATTGTTGTTATTATTGCAGAGTGTTGGAAAAGTGTTTACAATTAATGGTCTGTTTCTGAGTTGGGGCATGTGTGTGTGGCCTAACCATTTGAACAGATTTTGTCCTCCTCTGTAGGATGTAGTTTGCTGGAGTGGGACAGTACACAGGGCTGATGTGATGCTGCATGAGACATGCTGTTTGCTGAATCCTGGGGACTACACAGATGAGAAATGTGTTTTGTGGTTCTCAACTGAGTGCTTGTAAATACATTTGGTTTTGGGGGGCTGGAATCTCACTCTTTTTTTGAGCTTTGATGGTCACACTGTTTCTGCAGCCCTATTCTCACACAGATCCCATATACAGAATCACATTATAAAAAGGCACAATGCTACTTCAGACCACCAGAGGGAATCATTTAGCTAGCTAAAAACATATGTATCACTTTATCTATTCTGCGCTGTCTCTGATTCCTCTAGCTATTCATCGTACATTTATTTTCGTGTATTTACAAGAGGCTTATATTGTTATAGGGTAGCATCCAGAATTTAAATTTCCTTATTCAGGTGCAGCACTGACTACTTGATTCCCCATCAAGACATAGTCACATGTCTACTAATAGGCAGTGGCTAAATGGTTAACACTTCCGCTTGGCAGTACTAGGGTCTTTGGTTGAAATCCCAACCACAGCACCTGCCTGGAGTTTGCATGTTCTCCCTGTGCCTGTGTGGGTTTCCTCTGGGCACTCCTGTTTCCTTCCACACTTAAAGATATGCTGGTAGGTCAATTGGATCCTGTCTGAATCGGCCCTAGTATGTGTATGTACAAATGTAAGTTAGGGACCTTACATTGTACACCCCTTGAGGGTTAAGGACTGATGTGAATGTATTATATATATATATATATATATTCACAGCGCTAAATAAGTACATGGAAAAAAATAATCTTAAACATTTAAATATTTTCTTATTAATTCTAGCAGCTGTCCTAGGCACATAAAATGGTCAATGAGCTCAGTGAAACAACAAACTAACAAATTCCTCCATCTTCACAAACGAGAGGGATAAAGGAATTCCCTCTGCTGCTGATCAAGGAAAATTTTCCAACATGTCTCTTTGATCCAATGGTCAACTTCTGTTGAGCAGGGACAGCTGGTAATATGTAGGAGGTGGACCTAGGGCCAGTAGGAGATGTGTGACACAATATGGTGGAATATTTCCTAAAACAATAGGAAGGTGACTATCCCATCCAAAAAGAATCGGGCAATATGGCGGTAACCACTATCCAATCCGGGACCCTGACATTGTTCCAATCAGAATACAAGACTTTTTATGATAGAGTTCCTTTAAGTGGAATTTCTTTTGATCTCTTCTAAATTGCCATTTCAGTTTTGTCAGGTGAACTGTATAAGCTGGTCCTATTCAATAAAAAAGTAATTATTTTTAAGTACAGCCAACCAGAATTCATTACTTTTTATTGAATAAAGCTGTTAGTTTGTGGTATCTTTAATTTATTTTATTTATTTTTATAGGTTTAAAATGTGTAACCTGATCTGTTAAGTAATATTTTTTCATTAAGTGTATAAAGTCTTCATTTTAGAATAAAAAGATGTAATACAGGTTGTTTATATCTTACTTTGTCAGTGGGGTGATTTATCAATAGTGGAGCATTCATAAACTGGTGCAGCTGTGCATAGTAGCTTCTGGATTCAGGTTGTTCAATTAAGCTTTTGATATAAAACCTGGAAGCTGATTGGTTTCTATGCAGAGCTGCACCAGATTTTGCACTCTCCAGTTTTAGTAAATCTTTCCCAATGTGTTCATTTTTCTAATAAAAACAGCCCAGTATTAGCTATTGAGTTGGTCACTCATTGATATTACATATAGAGGCAAATCAAATAGAGAAAGGTAAGATGTGTTTGTTACCTCTGGCACATTCAGCTATGTGTGATTTATGAATAAAACTGAAATCAGTGGATTAAGATATACCCTTGTTACCACATAAAATGATAAAAACAAATAAGTAAAAATAATGCTATACAAAAATATGTAACATAGGTTCATTCATTAATGTTTATGTAATGTGCTATACTTTATAATCTCGTATAACAAATAACAATTAACATTGATCATACTAAAAAGTTTTTTTTCAACACATACTACCTTGCAGAGGAATGGATTCATTTATTTGTATCCACTTGCTCCATATTTCCTTATCATCTGTACATTCTCCTTTCAAGTATGTTCGAATTTTTATGACAATTTCCTTCCCAAAATTAAATGCAGCTCTGTAGTTTTGTTGCTTCGTCCTAACTGACTTTGAAAATGAATAAAAGACAAACGTGAAAAGAAATATTAGAAATGATGTTTATTTAAGGACATTATTTTCTAAATTAAAACATATTCTTGTGGATAAGCCATTGTTCATATATGAAGAAAATCTTACAACCACCATGTAAAAGACTGAATTTCTGACTAAAGCTCCACTTAAACTCAGTTTTGGCTACAACCATCGACTTTAAAAATTTGACATCTTAAATCACTATTTTGTAAATTTTATCTTACCTTCCAACGCTGTTCGTTAGTATCATAGTGTTGTAATTCATATCGTGCTATGCACTGACTGTTATTTAGTGAAATGGGTGGCTCCCAGGTTACATCCATCAGTCCCAAATATCCAAGATCATTAACCTTAACATTTGAAGGCGGGTCAACTAAAAGAACAGTTAGAGTATGCATCATTTGTAATGCTTGACTTTGTTTGATAATCATTTTAAGTTTGATGCTCTGTATGCATTATAATCATCATTCCCTTTTTATGTCTTTAAAGGGATGCTGTTGCTAACAAACAAATTCTTTAAAAGTCAAAACAAAGGAAAATGTACTTGTCCTACTGCCATTGCCACCTAATACTGCTCCAATGCAGAGTAATCCCTTGTTAAAGTTTTTTTGAGACCAACACTTTTGGAAGTGTCAGTCTTCTGGGTCCCTATCATTTCTCAGTGCATATTCTGACGTACTTCCACTCATTTTAGGATAGAGTAGTGAAGGTAAGCAAGTGAAAAGCAATATATAAACATAATACAGTGATGAACCCATGTAAACAATTGCCCAAATACAATTGTCAAAAGATATATACATACAAAATATATATATTCTCTTCTGATCCTCATCTGAGGGATCATAAAATAGTGCAAATAGGTGTGTGCATCCCTAGCCAGGGATGAAATGACTATATTGTGAACTGTGAACCACACTGAAAACAATCCACAATGAACCCCAATGCACATCAAAAAATCCTCCCACATAAATACTGCGATAAATAAAGTCCACAAACAAATCAAATTGTGCTCCAAATGGTCACCAAACACATGCAGGTGATACTCTTGTGATCGTGGTCATAGGTGCAAATCCTCAGATGGCCAAAATGCCCCCTCACCTTCTTACAAAGACCCCACAGGGCCAGCACGCTTTTTGTGGATCACCCCACGATCCTCACAGGTGGTACTCTTCGTGGGTCAATCCCCCACTTGTGGTCATCAATGGTGACACTCTCTCCTCTATTTATAACTCTCCTCCAGCCAATGTATGTAGATAATTAATCGCCTTTACACCACACTATGGGTGTCTTACATGGGTATAGGGTGCACCAAGATGACGCCCGCACCGGAAGTGACGTCACCGCGTACCGGAAGTTCCTCCCCACGTACCTACGAGTTATGTCACGCTAAATCACGTGACTTCTTCAGGAGCTGTAAAGGCGAAGGAATATAGGTGGTCATGAAATGACGGTGAGTTTACATCTATGTGGGGCACCAGTGTGAACACAGCGAAGCACTTATCATTTCAGTATGGAGTATCTCAGTTAAAGATACAGCACCGTTGCACCAATTATTCACATTTTGGGACTGAATATTAATATTTTGTATTTTGCTCAGTGTTATCACTTTAAAGATTGCACAGTTTATTTTGTCAATTTATGACCTTAGCGTGGCCCATTTTTGAAATATATAAGATTTTGTGTTTAGAAATTCACATTTAGGACTGCTGATATATAGGTTTCTTATATATAGTTAATTCTTTCACATATATATGAATTTTTTTCCTAAGCGCAACAGCAGCCCCTTGTTTCTTTTAGACAACTATAGTGTATATTCCTTGTTTTAAAAACTGTATGATCATACTAAAACTTGTAATGATATTTATAAAAATATTTCAGCTCCAGCGAATACATTAAGCTGTTGAGGCAGCAGATGTGTCAGAGACACAGACAAGTATTCTGGCAGCACCACCACCCTTTGGAACCATTATATAGATTGGGGCAAAGTTTTACAGCCTCTTAAATTAGCAATGTGTCTGGAATGTAAAAATGTAAAAGGTAAAGCACACAAATTAGAAATATGGATTGCTAGAACTGTGAAAAAGAAAATTTGCGTTTACTTCCACTTTAAACACATACAAAGCAGTTCACAATGGATCATTGATATTTATATCTTTAACTGCTGTTAAAAGATGTATAATCTATTTGCATAGTTACAGAGGTACCTTCATAGGAAAAAGACATATCTATCAATAATTCCAAACTATGCTCATTGACTTTTGTGTTGCCATGCTCTGGAACCAAAATTGCATGAGCTCAAATGCGGCTAATTTTGCCACAATGGAAAAGATATCCCAACTGGCCTCTAGTTTCAGTTTAATATCACAATACTTTTCATATGTCTTGTGGAAGTTCCTTGTGACGAAATAGAAGTGCAGACAGAGAGCACACAGAAGCAGATCACACAAGACCCAATGTGTGGGCATAGGGCAGGTAGTCCATAGGGCAAAAGGGCAGAGCAGTGTGTGGGTACAGCAGAGATGAAAGTCCTTGGCACATGTACAGGGCCCAGATATTTAAGTCTTTGACACACAGAGCAGGGTTGGTGCATCAGGGCAGTAAGTCCTCAGCACAGGCATGGAGCAGGAGTTAAGACCTTGACACACAGAACAGGGTACAGGAAGTTAAGTCCTTGGCACACAGAGCAACATACAGGGAGTTAGGTCCTTTGCACACAGAGCAAGGTTGGTCCAGCAGGGCGGTAAGTCCTCAGCACAGACAGGGTGCAGGGGTTAAGTCCTTGGCACACAGAGCAGGGTACATGGGTTTAAGTCCTTGACACAGAGCGGGGTTGGCACAGCAGGGTGGTAAGTCCTCAGCACAGGCAGAGAGCAGGGGTTAAGTTCTTGGCACACAGAGCAAGGTAAAGGGAGTTAAGTCCTTGGCACACAGAGCAGGGTTGGCACAGCAGAGTGGTAAGTCCTCAACACTGGTAGGGCACAGAGTTAAATCCTTGGCATACAGAGCAGGGTAATGGGGGTTAAGTCCTTTTGAGGGGGGCCTATGGGGTCTGGCTGCAGTGCAGGACCACTCACAGCATGCCACCAAGGGAGAGAGAGAGAGCACGGAGCCTGTAGCAGAGGCAGGAGTCTTCCGCGGAGTCCTGGAACAGGGGGCAACTGTGTGGTGTGGCCGCAGCATGGACCTTGCATAGCAGCAGGCAGGGGAAATCAAGTGAACAGTGAGAGAAATCTGATACCCAGGCCCCACTCCAGCATTTATCCCTGGAATCAGACACATTCTCATTCTCCAGGTAACCCAAGACTTGGCATCGAGAAACCCGGGCAACAGACCCCACCCCCCGACGCCAGCCCTGCACAGGGAGCGTGGCCTTGGTTTCTAGCGGGCACAAAGCACGGGTATCAGGTACCTGGTGTTAGAGGCCAATGGAGAGAGGGCTTCCCTTGCGGCTAAGTTCCAGACTCCCCTGAGAGTGGGACAGCAGGAGTCAGGCCCAAAGTGGCACAGGTCGCCTGTAGGAGTGCTCATTGGTGGTCCACCCAGGAGCACAGCTAATGCACAGAAATGGGATCTGCAGACATGTGGTGCCTGTGCAAGGTATGCAAGTCTTCCAGGAAACAGAGGATCACAGGATAGCCAGTTCAAAGCCGAGGTCAGGTACCAGGTGAAAATCAGAGCAGACATAGTCAGATGGGATAGCTGAGGTCATACACAGAGGAGCAAGAGGGAATATCCATTAGCCAAGCCGAGGGCATACACAGAGGAGCAAAGACGGAATATCCGTTAGCCAAGCCTAGGTCATACACAGAGGAGCAAAGAGGGAATATCTGTTAGCCAAGCCGAGGTCAGATCAGGGATTAAGCAGAGAAGACAGGTCCAAGAGCAAGCCGAGTCGGTATCAGGAAGTCACAGATCACAATAGCATAGGAAAAGGAACAAGGTACTGGGAAGCCAGAGATCAACCAGCTCCTGAGAGTAGAGCAGGGCTTCCTTATAAAGGCCATTTGGAACCACATTTGAGCTGATGTGAACTTCTGCGGCCTTGCAAGGTACTGGCAGGGGTGCCAGGTCTCCTAACACCTCTGCCAAGGACAGAGCCCTGACAATGGAAGAAGCAGGACCACGCTGTGTCCATGGAGACAGGGAGGGGGGCATGGAGAGCAGCCTGCATGTGGCGAATCCACATGCAGGTACAGTGGGGAGGTCGACTGGCCGGCTCTTAGCCAGAGGAACAGAACGCAGCCTCAGCAGGGGTCAGTCCTCTGGCAACAGCTGAGTGAGGAGATGCTGTGGTTAGTGACAAGAGGGGGGTGGGGAGGACTAGTCCTGTGACATTACTAATTTAAAAGTATCTAAAAATAGTGTGCCCCTTATGACTATAAACACAAAGGGGGATTTACTAAAACTGGAATGTGCAAAATCTGCTACAGATCTACATAGTAATCAATCAGCTTCCAAGTTATCGTCAAAACTTAATTGAACAAACTGAATTTTATTCTTTTATTTATTTATTTCAGGTACTTATATAGCGCCGTTAATTTACGCAGCGCTTTACATATACATATATATTGTACATTCACATCAGTCTTTAACCCTCAAGGGGTGTACAATCTAAAGTCCGTAACTCACATTCATACATACACATACTAGGGCCAATTTAGACAGGATCCAATTAACCTACCAGCATGTCTTTGGAATGTGGGAGGAAACCCACGCAGGCACAGGGAGAATATGCAAACTCCAGGCAGGAGGTGCCGTGGCTGGGATTCGAACCAACGACCATAGGAAGTGCTAACCATTTAGCCACTGTGCTGCCTATTTTGAACCTGTTTGGCTACCATGCACAGCTGCACCAGATTCTGAGATCTCCAGTTTTAGTAAATCTCCCCTATAGATCACTTATTTACAAAACTCTTGCTGACAACATGTAGAGAAAATGTATTTCTATACATTTTAGTGCTAATATTAAAGGGATCAATATACCTTAATTCCTACAGTTAAATCAGTGACCATAAGTCCTCATCTTTAGCGGCTGTCCACAGTAGTTTAAAGGGTAATTTGTCATTAATGTATTTTTGAATGTGATCCAAAGTTATTGGATCATACATAAAAAATCTTTTTATAAAATTTGTTAACAGTCTTGCTGGGATGGATAAATAAAGAGTAATAGAAGGCTTAGAAAAAATAGGCTTTGGCTTAAGAAAAGGTCAAAGAAGATCCCAAAATGAGCCATTTAAATGTAAGGAGACGTGTAACGTCATACTACAAAAGATGCTGTAAACTTTGCGATTGATATTTATGGAATAAAAGAGCAATAATTCTGAGAGACAAAAGAAGAAGTAAAAGCATATTCCTTCCTAGAACATTGTCACTAGAACAGGCATCCTCATTTAGAGCTTTCCTCTTGCCCTCTGTTATGGTGACAGCTCTAACATTTTGTATTTTCCATCACTTTCTATACTGGACAGAGTGGTCTTTAGGAACTCTCCAGTGGCAATGCAAGCATCAATTCAAACCTGACAAGGATTTTAACACTTAGATATTTATAGTATATCCAAAAAGAAAAAGAAAAATGTGAGCTTCACATAAATTAATATTTTCCTTTAGGTTCACTTTAGGAGGGAGGGATGAAGAGAGAAAAAAAGGAGTGAAAGGTAGAAGGAAGATTTACAATATTACATTTTTTTAATACCTACCATTCATTACTGATGTTGTTGCCAGTTCTGCATTCACTATGAAGTATATCATAATTCCAGATATGTATTGAAAGTTTAAACTCCTGACAACATCAGATCCAGTTCTGGAGTTTAAGTTCCACATGTTCCTTCAAACAACAAAATAATATTAAAATAAAAAAAAAATACAGGAAGCAAATTGTGTCAGTGATGTTTTTTTTTAAATTTGTTTAGCAAATTATATAAAGGTAAAAAGATATTCCAGTTTTAGGTATTTGCTACTGAATGAACACCCCAACTTATTATTTCTCTTGGGGATAATGGTAAAATTCTGCACTGCATTTCCAGGTCCAGGATACTACTACAGCCAATTCAAAATGTGTTCAAGGGCATCTAAAAAGCTAAATATACGGTATACAGTATATTTTTTTAAATTGTGGATAGAGTTTTTTCGGTTTAGAACCCTGGTCGGGTTTTATTGCTACAAAAAACATGAAATAAACTGTGCCACAACATGTTTTGGTTGTTCACAAACCTACCTATCAAAATATATAAAATATAAATTATACCACATGAAGAATATGTTAAAAAAAAAATTCAAATATGTAAATTAAAGCGCTGCTGCTATCCTATTGGAACTAAAGTCAACCCAAAATGTGAAATATATGAAAGGTAAGAACTGCGCTGCTTTGTTAGGGTGTCAGTATTAATCAAACATATGTGCATATTAAAGTGAAAATAATTCCAATGTGTAATCCTAAATCCATTGAAAAATAACACTATGACCATGTATAACCAATAATTATGTGCAGCATCTGTGAAAGGAAGTCCATATGCATTTGCAAATATTTAAACAGTCACAAGTGTGATGCTTAATTCAAACCAAGCAAAATAGTGAAAACCCTTCTTTTTATTTTTTCTTCTTTTCTTCCACCACCACCAATGTGAAAATCCACCACCATGTAATACTAAATGAACTCAAGAGAGGCAAATGCTGGTGTGTTTAAAACCAGCATGCAGCACATTCCCCTCTGGGAATAATAATCTACATACTCAGCCAGATCCTCAGTATGTTCTCACGAACACTTGTATGGTTTGCACTACCACGATCACCAAATTATAATAGAGGAGGAAGAGCAAAAAGATCTCAAATAGCATAAGATCCTTAAAAACCTTTTATAATTCATATAAAATCATCTCCACTGACACAAGTGTACAAGCATAAAACTCTAAACTGGGCTTGCTCCGATCTCCTGATTGCAAGCGTACAACATCAGCATGCATGGTGATGTCATGTCACAACCTCTCCCTGCGCATTCTGTCATCTGACATCCTCGTAATCTGGCCCTCCACCGCCACTGGTCGATGTGAGATGATGAAACGTGTAGGGTTGAGCTGAGACGTGACATCACCACACACATCAATGTTCTACGCTCGAGGTCAGGAGATTGGTGCGAGCCCGGTTTAAAGTTCAGTTGCTAATTATAAAAAAAGTCCCAGTTTTGTCCAGTTGCTTTATATAAAAGTCTTTTAAATCCTTGACAGAATCTGAGAAGCTCTTTAAGACTTAGAGGTAACACCTAAACATTTCTCAGTCTTTTCTAAGATTATATACAAACCTAAATTCTATTTTAACTTTTGTATTAAAACACAGAAGAAGGATGTTGATCTCCATATATCTGAGAAAAAAATGAAGTCTACTCGGAGATATGCTAAATACAATTTTGCATATTAAGGTTACTGTCCCAAATTGTTTTACCATAGACTAAAAAAGGGTCTGGCCATAAGCAGGTAAAGGCATGGCTTGCTGAGGCTTTCACTACTCCTTGCAAAAACACAGATTAAAGCAATGAATTAGAGGCAGTACTTGTCTCCTCAAAACATACCCAATGCACCCAAAGCTTTGCAACAGTGCCAGAAAAATGTTGTAGAACAAATCAATGCAAAGAAAAAGTGCAGTGGCCTTAGTGCACTAATAAATTAGTATTGCACTTACAGGAATAGAGGACTAGAATCAGATTGTCATGAGCCTTGGATTGGAGGTGCAGTAACACAACTACAAAATAGTGCCTCCCTCCCATTTGCACATAGATGTGGAAGCTAGAGGATAATTGTACTTCATAAGGGTGCCAAAATGCATTTTTGTTCACAAAGTAGCACTTGGGGACACAAGCTACAACATGCAGCTGCTCAGTATTCTTTTCCTTCTTCTAGCTTTACAGATACAGCTTCCAACCCACAGAGAGATGTAGATAGCCACAGTATTCCTACTACAGGCAGCTCCCAGAGCTCTCTTTCAGAGGAGTCTGCAATGGATGTGGAGCAGGACAGGACTATCAGGAGCAATTCATACACAGAGTGGAAAAGATTTTTAAGCAGGATATTGAGCTCAAATCTGATACTACTCAGCCTGGACATAGATTAGATACTTTGGATGCTAAATATGATGATGCAATTCACTCACTTGAGCTCCTAAAAAGATTTGAAAACTGAATCTTCATTTTTACAACTTGAAGATAACTTGATGACAGTAAGAATAGAAGCAAAATGTATCTATAACAGACCCTCAAGAACCCACACAATCTCAGGATTTTATTTATGCACTCACTGGAATATTCATGCAGGTACTTGGCAACAAAGCCCTTGAACACATAGAAGTAGACTGAGCTCACTGCCCCCCAACCACCCAGCCAGAGGACTGGCAGAATGAGAAATTTAATTTTTCACTTACACTAATAAGCAGTTAAAGAGGACATCATTGCAAAAATTAAAAATACAGCCCATTTAAGTTTGGATGGTACCAAAATTAACCTGTAACCTAACCTCTCCCAGCAGGCTCTAACGATGTGGATGGCACTCCACTCCCTGCTGAAACTGTTATGTAAAGAAGGCTTACACTTTTTTCTAATACAAAAAGATGGCAAAACAGTCTCTTGCATAGATAAAAGAAATCTCCTTGATTTCAAGGGATTGGATCTTCCAGATATCGACATCCCTGAATGGCACACCATTAAACATATTCCTGTATCAGCATGTCAGGGACAATGACAAATAGTACTCCAGAGTATGCAACAGAGATGCCAAACCAGGTCAGAGCCAGAAAACTACTTTCCAATCTATTCAAAGTTTTCTTCACAAAGCTCTGGATTTTGCTAGCAATCCCATTAGTACTCTCTCTGCACATACCATGCTTTCACATTGCAATAACCATGGCTCTCATTTGTGTAGCCTAAAACAAATCTATAAACCCAAATCCTCTGAATGATGCATCCAGGACCTACTGACCTATATTGGCACACTTGTGCCTTGTAACAAATCCCAAGAAAGGGTATTCTTGACTGCACTGCACATATTTTTCACACACTTTTTACCTGTTTAAGGCCAGCCACTCTACCATACAACACCTGAGAAGACAGGGATAGGCAGTGGATGGTGGGCCTTAGCTTACTGAGATAGGGCCCTTAAGGAATGCAAGAACCCCCCCCCCCAACCGGACCCACAGGAAGAATGCATGCCTGAAAGCCCCTTAACTCATCTTCCCCCTGCTTAGAAAACTGGGATAAAAACCACAAGGGTACCCATGATAGCTGTGACAAGAGGCCAAAAGCTAAAATTCTGATGTTCTGGAAGCTCTACCTGCCTGTGTACTCAAGGTAGTCTGATGTGCAGCTGAACTGCCTCCAATGACACAGCCGTTCTGTGTAGAAAATGGCATTTGACATCTGTGACCATAGGGTTGTACTAAGATGAAGCTGTCAGTAAATGCAGGCACAGCACTACACATTGCTGTGTCACAGTGTCACTTCCTGATCACATTAAAAAATCAAACAGCCAGTCCCAGATACACACTAGAGGCAGGGTAAGGATGGCCAGGGGGCACAAAGGGGTAGATATAAAGGGACAGGCCTTACTAACCAACCGGTAGAACAATATGACCACAATATTTGAAGGGGAGTGAAGCACCCCGCTTTACTCACTTAAGAAGAAAATGTGCCAGAAGGGGTCTTTAGGGACTGGATCACACCTAAATGGATCACCACTGCCCTGGAACTGTATAGCATCCTGAAGCTAACTCCACGCACTGCACAACATGCTGGCATGCCAAGGCAGTGCACCTAATGCAGAATCCAGTGCCCAAGTGACTTTACAGGCTGTTCCCCTGTCTTTCATCTCTGGCAGACCTGGGTATGATCCCAGAGGCATGCCTAGAAAGGCTGGTGCATAGTCAGGTAAGTGGAGCAGTAATCCAGATAAGTGAAATTTCCAGAAAAAAAAAAAAAAAGAAACCACTCCCCCCCCCCCGATAGAAATGAGACATCCATAGCCTAACAGCATTAACAAAAAAACTGCGTACCATTTAAATATTACAAAGAATATAACAGAATATGTAAAAAGGAAATCAAGGCCGCATAAATTGAAAACGAACGACAGATTGCAAGAGTTAGCAAGACAACCTCCTAAGAAATTCTTCAAATATATTAATAGTAAAAAGATCAGGTCTGAGCATGTAGGCCCTTTACAAAATAACCAAGAGTGGAAGACTGGGGACAAGGAAAAGGAAAATGTAATAAATAACTTCTTCAGCTCTGTGTATACAAATGAGCATGGGAGAGATGATGTCCACAATGGGCATGATATTGACACAGCCCCAAATGATCCACCATGGTTCAAAACTGATATGGTCCAGAAATATTTAGACAGAATAAAGGTGAATAAAGTACCTGTCCTGGATGGCATACACCCATGGGTCCTAAAAGAATTTAGCTCTGTCATTTCAAAGCCATCATTTCTAATTTTTAGGGACTCTAATGATTGGCATAGTAACACTGGACTGGCGTAAGGCCAAATGTGGTGCCTACATTTAAAAAAGGGATCAAAGTCTTTACCAAGTAATTATAGACCTGTTAGTTTAACTTCTATGGTCAGGAAGATACTGGAGAGTTGAATTAAAGACCACAAAGATGAGTTCTTGTTGGAAAATAATATCTTAAGCAACAGACAGCATGGATTCTGGAAAGATAGAAGTTGTCAAACAAATCTGATTTCTTTTTATGAGGAGGTGAGCAAAACCTTGGACAGAGGAGTGGCAGTGGAAGTGGTATACTTGGATTTTGCAAAAGCGCTTGACGAAGTTCC